AGAATATTGGATATGGAAGAAAAAAGGTTCAGTGAACTTGAAGACAAATCAATAAAAATTACTCAATCTAAAAATCTCTCTCCACTAAAAAAGAAAACAATGCTGAAGAAAAAGAGACCTGTAGGTAACCAGCAAATACCCTAACATACAAACATACATGTAATTGACATCCAGAAGGAAAAAAGAGTAATAATGTCAGAGGGGAAAAAAATTCCAAGGAATTTTATATATCCTATATAATAGAAGCCCAGCAACCATACAGCGAAATGACCAGAACGACTAGTTGACAAGTTGCTATGACGCGCACTGACCACCGGGGGCAGACCCTCAACACAGGAACTGCCCCAGGTGTTCAGTGCGCTCCCACAGTGGGAGCGCCATTCGGCTGACCAAGATGAGCAGCTGCTACCGCAGCAGGAGCAGGTCCACAGCCGCACTCAGCTGACCAGGATGAGTGGCACTCCCATGGCGGGAGATCCCTGCAGGCCACACCCCCATTAGTGCACAAACCCCATGCACCGGGCCTCTAGTTAGCCAATAATTTCCCTAACTTGATGAAAAACATTGACTTATGGATCCGAATAGCTCAGTTACTAAGAAGCAGGAGAAATACAAAGAAAAAACACACCTAGACATACAACAGTCTAACTACTAAAAACAAAAGATTAACTATTCTGAGTTATGAACATTCTTACCTGGACATATTTCTTGCTATAATCACAACCTAGCTGTAGGGATCTGAATTCTACTTTGTGTAGTTTATTTAGTGGCTCATTTTCAGGCACCCCATTGACTTCTTTTATTAATTCCAGTGGCATATCAGATCTGCTTTACAGTGGCATATCAGATCGGCTGTCCAAAGCAAATTCAATCAGGGAAGTTGATATCTTGATGCTGAAAATACAGAGACCAGTGTTTTATACAAAATGTAGTCAATATTTGCTTTAAGCTTCTATGTCTTAGTTTTGCTTTGCTTTTCCTTTTAGTTAGTTATCACTGTTGGTGGACAAGAGCTAGAGAATGGATTATGCTATAATTTTATTACAAGGATAAATATACACATTCTTCTAAATCACTGAAACTTAATCCCCTTCTATTTGCTTTTGTATTTTATTTTTTAAAATTAAATCTTCATTGTCGAAAGTATTACATATGTCCCCTTCCTTCCCTCATTGACTCCTTCTAGCCTGCCCCCACCACACTCCCGAGGCCTTCACCACCCTACTGTCTGTGCCCATGGGTTATGCATATATGCATACAAGTTCTTTGATCTCTTCTCACCCACCCACCCAATCTCCCCCCGATCTTTTCTGAGGTTCCACAGCTGTTCCTATGCTTCTATGTCTCTGGATCTACCTTGTTCATCAGCTTATTTTGTCCATTAGATTCAACATATGAATGAAATCATGTGATACTTGTCTTTCTTTGACTGGCTTACTTCAATTAGCATAGTACTCTCAGGTCCCTCCATGATGTCTCAAAGCGTAAGAGATCCTTTTTAACAGCTGCATAGTACTCCATGGTGTAAATGTAGCACAGCTTTTTTATCCACTCATCTACTGATGGGCTGTTTCCAGATCTTAGCTATTGTAAATTGTGCTATGAACATAGGGTGCACACATTCCTTCTGATTGGTATTCCAGGTATTGTAGGATATATTCCTAGAAATTGGATCATGTAGTCAAATGGGAGTTCAATTTTTAATATTTTGAGGAAACTCCATACTGTTTTCCACAGTGGTTGCACCAGTCTGCATTCCCACCAGCAGTGTACTAGAGTTCCCTTTTCACATCCTCGCCGCCAACACTTGCTTGTCATTTGTTGATGATAGCCATTCTGACAGGTATATGAATTTTAAGTTGTATGAATTCCTTATATATTTTAGATATAAACCTTTATCTGATTTTTCATTGCCAAATATGTTCTCCCATGCAGTGAGCTTTCTTGTTGTTTTGTTGATGGTTTCTTTTGTTGTGCACAAGCTTTTTATTTTGATGTATTTCCATTTGTTTATTTTCTCCTTAGTTTCCTTTGCCCTAGGAGATGTAAACATATTGTATCTGTAAACATATTGCCATGAGAGATGTCTGAGATTTTGCTGCCTACGGTATCTTCTTAGATTTTTATGGTTTCACGTCTTACATTTAAGTCTTTCATCCATTCTCAGTTTATTCTTGAATATGGTTTAAGTTGGTGGTCTAGTTTCATTTTTTTGCATGTATCTGTCCAATTTTTTCCAGTGCCATTTACTGAAGAGACTGTCTGGACTACTTTGTATATTCTTGCCTTCTTTTTCAAATATTAGTTGAGCATAATGGCTTGGGTAGGATTTATTCCAGGGATGCAAGGCTGGATCAATACTCGCAAATCAATAATGTGATGCATCACATAAAAAATTGAAAGACAAAAGTCACATGTTCATATCTATAGACGCAGAAAAAGCGTTCGACAAAATCCACAAAATCCAACACCCTTTTTTGATAAGAACTCTCAGCAAAGTGTGAATAGAGGGATCATAACTAAACATTTTAATAAAGGCCATACATGACAAACCTACAGCCAACACCATACTCACTGGGCAAAAACTAAAACCATTTCCCCTAAGAACAGGAACAAGACAGGGATGTCGGCTTTCACCACTCTTACTGAACACAGTACTGGAAGTCCTAACCACAGCGATCAGACAAGAAGGAGGAATAAAAGGCATCCAAATTGGAAAGGAGAAAGTAAAATTCTAGTTATTCACAGATGACATGATATTGTACATAGAAAACCCTAAAGACTCCACCAAAAACTTCTATATTTAATAACTGAATTTGGCAATGTAGCAAGTTACAAAATTAACACCCAGAAATCGGTGGCATTTTTATAAGCCAATAATGAATTCTCAGAAAGAGAAACTAAACAAATAGCCCCATTTATCATTGCAACAACAACAAAAAAGATACTTAGGCATGAACTTAACCAAGGAAGTAAAAGACCTGTACTCCAAAAACTACAGGACATTGAAAAAAGAGACTGAGGAAGATATAAACTAGAAGAATAATATACCATGTTCATGGATTGGTGGAATCAACATCATTAAAATGTCCATACTACCCCAAAGCAATCTATAGATTCAATGCAATCCCCATTAAAATACCAACAGCAGATTTCACAGATCTAGAACAAATACTCCAAAATTTTATATGGAACCAAAAAAGACCCCGAATAGCTGCAGCCATCTTAAGAACAAAGTTGGAGGGATCACAATACCAGACATCGAGTTATACTACAAAGCCGCTGTAATCAAAACAGCCTGGTACTGGCACAAGAACAGGCATATAGATCAATGGAATAGAACAGAGATTTTAGTTTTGTATTTTAAAAAGTACTTCTAAAAGTCAGTTTTAATATCGGTGATAACTGAGCTAAGAATAGCCTTTACCACCATGCTTTAAAATGCACAAGCTGCTGGGCAAGGAAAGTTTTGAGTTTTAATATTGCGCAGGCAAACTGTACTACCAAAAGCAAATTACTCCGAAGTATACCCGTTGCCTCCTCCCTCCCGCCCGATACAATCAAAAGAAATGACTGCTGAACTGACGTTAACGTGTGTGCACTGTGGGTTCAGTCTTATTTCTCAGGACTCTTAACTGGGACAGTTAGTGCCAACACTCACACTGGGTGTGTGCGCGCCAACCTCCCCCGCCTGCAGCCTCCGTGGGGGCGGGCACGGGGACTAACCCACTCAGGGCTCCCCGACCCCAAGCGGGGCGCTGGGCACCGCAGCTCAGACAGCGACGCGCACGAAGAGCTTCTCCGCAATAACGACGCCACCTCTGGGTCCAAACGAAATCAGCCTCTTTATCATGCCAGGTCCGGTCCCGACCCACCTAGGACCCACACTACCAACTCCAGACCTACTCAGACCTACTCACCGCGCTCCGGAGCCAAACTCCGCGTTCAGACGGGCGCGCCGCTGACGTCACAGCTCTCCGGCGGCGCACCTCCCGCGC